GAAGAAAAGTTTTTGCCTCCTCTACACTTCATGTAATATCATACAGGTTACTTTGGATATTCTTTTTTACTTTTATTGATTTTTGAATTAAGAAATTTATGGCTATCTAAATTGTGCTATTTAATATATAACTTACAATCAATCCTAGTCACGTAAGAATTCTCTTGGGAAGCATGTATTGATTTTAAACTGTGTTAGACCAGATCTAGAAATATGTTGCGGAGAATAACTTGAGCTGAACCTGAGAAATATCAGACAACTTAGTACTTCTTCAAAACTAATGTGTAGGGTTTTAAAAAAAAATTTGGTCCAAAGTTTCCACTTTATATTCGTGCTTCCGATGTCTCTTAAATTAGTGCCATTATTATTCATTAGTTTCTACAGCTAAAGCTATTTTGTACTATTTCTATCACTGACTGAAAAATATTTAAATTGCTGTAGGATTTAGACTTCTGAAATGGAATGGTGTTTTCAACTCTGGTGTAACTGTGTGTCAGTACAGGCTGCTTCACCTTAAAATGATTAGTGTTTTGTGAGAGATGTACAACAAATTGCAGGGCTAATCAATGGGAAAATTACCCAGAGGTTGAGGTAGGTTCTAATTAATTATATTGCTAGCTGTTAGAAAGAGGTCTTTGAAAAGGTAATCAAAGAAACATCACATATGGGCTGTTTGTTCTTGTAGGACTATTTTTAAAAAGGAAATTTCCTGATAGTCTTTAGCCCATCTCCACTTCCTCCCAAGGATCTGGGATGGAATTAGGTTTCCTTCTGGCAACTTTCCCTGGGGTCTCCCGTCTCCCCGTGTGGAAATAAATGAAACAACAAAAATTAATTTTCTCACAGTTCTGGAGGCTGTAAGTTCAAGACCAACGTTTCAGCCAAGTTGGTTCCTTCTGAGGCCTCTCTCCTTGGCTTGCAGACGGCCATCTTCCGGCTGTGTCCTCAAGTGGTCTTTTCTCTGCGAGATGGTATCCTTGGTGTCTCTCTGTGTATCCTAATCTCCTCTTCTCATAAGAACACCAGTCACATTGGATTAGGGCCCACCCAAATGACTTCATTTTAAATTAATTACCTCTCAAAAGGCCCTGTCTCCAAATACAGTCATATTCTGAGATACAGGGTTTTCGGGCTTCAACATACGAATTTTAGAGAGACATAATTCAGCTCATAACCATGGGCTAACCAGAAATGGGACATCCTATGTGATTAGTTAGGGGAACATATTTGGCTTTCTATGTACAGTCTTAAGTTGGAAGCGGGGGCAAGAATTTGAGAAGCTGGCTGTTATCAAGCCCTGACTGGGGCTGATTGTACAAAGGCTGTGGTTTGGCTTCCTGGTCTGGTTGCTGCAGATTTTGGGTCATGATTGTGGAAGATCAAAATTTGGCCACCCCAAAATATCTCTCTTTACCTTGATTATTTTCTCTGACAGACATTTGACCTCCCCCACTAACTGCCTAAAGGAATTTATAACTCTGGGTATGGACAGACTGGCAGGGTCCTCACTAAGCCCATTCTTTTCAAAGTTCTGTTTATCAAATATTCACATTTGTAAAGGTATCTCCCTCTGTGTATTGGGAAGAGGGGGGAGATGACCTTTTCTATGGAAACTCTTATCAGGACGGAAGAAGAGGACTTAAATCTACATACTCTTGATTACTATAATTCCTGTCTCTCCGGCCACATTCTGTATAGGTTGTCTGACAAGAAAGTTGTCTGTCAAAGAACTGTCTGACAAAGATTTATACTTCTCTCTTCATGTGAATTGTCTTCTTCCCTTCTGAAATTCCAACCCACTACCCGCCCCCAACATCCTCCTTTGTCTACCTGAATATGCTATTTAAGGTGAAAACTTTCGCCATTTGTCGAGAAATTCAGTTTCCCTGGTTTCTCCCATGTACACGTGTTATTAAACTAGGTATTATCTTCTCCTGCTAACCTGTCTTTTATTTGGCCAGCCATAAGAATGTTAAGGGAAAGGGCGGAGGGGGATTCTCCCTCTTCCCCAACAGAGTTTTATCGTCATATATGGTCTGGATGTTGTTGGTTTGTATATTCAGTCTCACCTGGAAAAGAATAGAAGGTAGTGAGAGCAAGCACTTGTTCTGTCATTGACTTTTATGTCTTTAGATCCTAGAATTGAACTGGCAAATAGCTTGCACTCAACAAACAGTTGCTGAAGAAATGGATTCAGGGTCAGAACATTCTTCAGTAACAAATAGTCTTATGTGTCTCTCTTACCCTCTATAACCGGATTTTCTTATCTACAAAATGGGCACACGCCCATCCTTTCAATAACAGCTGTTGCATATTGAACAATTACCATATGTTCAATTGGAGTGGGCACTTTGAAGTCACTATCTCATTTAATCCTCTGAGCACCTCTACGACATGGATTATTATTCTCATTTTTTAGATGAGGAAATAGATTCAGTTATTCTTTTGCCTTATGAACACTTCAAAAGACTAAATGAATTTTGAAAAAAGAAATCTATGGGTTGGCTAAGCTACAAAACAAAGGTTTCTTCCTGATTTTAGCAATGTATAATGGCTTCTGAACAACTGAGTATCAGAAATTCATTGTTCAAACTGACCACATACATTTTGTTTCACTGATTAAGTTTGAAGAAAACATCTATAGGTGATTTTCCTCCCTAAGGTACTAATTTCACTTACGGAATGGCAATCTCAGGTAAATCAGAACTGAAGACATTATGCTTAAAGAAAACGGTCCTAAACATGTCAGCCTCAGTTTCCCCATCTGTAAAATAATCTATGGGTTTATTGTGAGAATTGAATGGCAAAATAAATAGAAGAGAAATACGTATTTTCTATGAGTAGCAGTTAAGTGAAAACACATACTCCAGATTCAGCAACGGTACAGTTAGAAAATATGTGCTCTTCACCTCCTGCCAGAGCTCAAACGCTTCTCAGCTGGGAGACTCACCGAGCTTCCTGATCGACTGCTAACCAAGGACAAGTTCCTGAAGATGGGAGAATGTTCCCTGTGAAACACAGCTGTCATCGGTCAACAGTGGGCACAAAACAGGTCAATGGAGGAACCCTGAGTTTAAAAACAGAAAAGGAATTTCACGTTATTATGAGCAAATGGATAATACCAAGCGGCTTTCTCATGCTTTCTATTTGTGGGAATAACTTTATTCTCGTTTTTTGTTTTGTTTTTTTTTTGTTTAAGAAAAGGAATATTAAAGTGCCAGAAGAGCCCAGGAATTTCTCACGAATCTGTAGACTAAAAAAAAAATGAAATAATATGCTCCTATTTGGGGTGCCTCTAAGCAATTAAACTAAAGGATGTCAAAATATTTTATTTATCATCACACTTTGACAGAAACAATCACCAGTTGATAGCGTTATGTCTATCCACCGGCTTTCTGATTTCTTTAGAAAGCAAAAGATTGTCAGTTTATAGTCCCACTTTGTTTACTACCCCAACCATAAATAAGAAATTCAGTCTGGGGCCAGCCTGGTAGCGCAAGCGGTTAAATGCCTGCGTTTGGCTTCACCTGCCCGGGGTTCGCAGGTTGGGATCCTGGCAGCACACCAACACACCAGTTGTCAAGCCATGCTGTGGCAATGTCCCATGTAAAGTAGAGGAAGATGGGCACGGATGTTAGCTCAGGGCCAATCTTCCTCAGCAAAAAAAAAAAAGAAAGAAAAGAAAAGAAAAAGAAACACAATCTACTTAAAATTTTACAACAGTGATTTGCCTATCTGCCCTCAGGTGGTAATTTTTCTACAACATAAAGTTAATTGTTATTTGGCCACTCATTTAACTTCTCATTAAGATTTCTTTAAGGTAGTCAGGACATTAGCTTTTGCCGTATTTATTGCAAAGAAACAGGAAGTGTGTAAAATACAAATACACTGTAAGAAGTGTATACAAATTATTTTTCTACTTCACGGTTAACGTGTTTTAATAATGGCTACTGTCTTTTATTAATGACTACAATTTATTAAGTATTACATTCCAGGCACCAGGGGAGACACTTGAACACAAGCTCTCTACTTCTTATAACAAACCGTGAAGGTAGCTACTCTCACATACATTATACAGATGAGAAAACCAAGGCCCAGCGTTTGCCACCTGGCCGACAAGAGGTGGAGATTTCTGCATGACTCCCTCTCCCACCGCCACCGCCACCCCCACTAGCTGCGAGACTAGATCACGTCACTTTTTTTTTTTACTTTCTTTTAGCCACACTGTACGTATTTCACATTTATGTAACATTGTTGTTGCTGTTGTTTCTAAATCCGTGTGATACATCGTCCATCCCTTCGTGCAGCCCCGCAGAATTCAGGTATCAGAAACCATGAACACAATCGGAGCAATACTGAGGAAGCGTTTTCGGCCCTCACTTTTCATTGAGTACAATGCGTTTTGCCCCGTTTTAGTTGAACCCCTGTGATGTTTTAAATTTCTGCAAGCTTCTTAGGGGAAGGAAAGAGATTTTATTCACCTTTGCCTGTCTACTGCCCAGCCCAGAGTCCCCAGCACGTAGTAGGCACTCAATATATACTGAATGAATTGGATACCTAGTTAATTGTTTTCTTCTTAAAGCCTCAGTTAGTTAAATGAACTTCCACACGAATTTTAGAATAGTGATTTAGTAAAGGATTTGTGTCTCCAAAATGTTAGCCCCTGCAGGGACCTGGGAGGGAGGGGAAGGCGAATCACCTGCTGTCCCTCTGAGACGGGCACGACCAGGTACTATCACCCCACTCAACCTTGCTCCACCTGGGGGCTCCCCACAACTTAACAGCCCTCTGGGGCCGCGAGGACCACGGGGTGGGGAGCGGGCTGCGCGCACGCGGGAGGCACGTTGAAGTTCAAAGGAGCGTGTTTACCAGCAAACAAAGGGCGGCGCGATCTCGGGTCCCGGGACCAGCTGCGGCCGCCTCGGAAGCGCAAGAGGGCCGCGGTGACGAATGGACATTCCGCACCCGAGCACACGGACACCGGATCTGCGGCTCCAGCTGCCCGGCCCACGGCCGCCTCCCGCCCCCGCGGCCGGTCTGCACGTGCCCGGCGAGCAGCCTCGGGCGCCACCGTCCCGAGAACTTTCCGTCCTTCTCGGGCTAGGGGTCGGCGGCGGGGAGCGACCGGGGCCTCTAGGGAATTCCTTCACCCGACTCGGCGGGCGGACCTTCCCAAGTGGAAGGTGCCCGCTCCCAAGTCCAGCCCCGACCCTCGGGCGCCTCGGAGAAGCTCCCGGGAACGACGGCCAGGCGGCAGCGCGGAGCCGGGCCGAGCGGGAGGAACAAAGGGAGCAGCGGGCCGGGGAGGATGCTGCGCTCCCCTGCGCCCCACCCGGCCGGCTCGCGGGCGCTGCCTCGCGCGCAGGTAGCCCGGCCTTTGGCGCGGCAGGAGGGTGTTTTCGAGCGGGGTACACAAAGACTCACTTTCGCGGGGCCAGGCGCCCGGACTCCCCTCCCCGTCACTCACAGCCGTTCACATTCCTGCATCCCTGCCGCGGACGGGGGCCTGAGTGCCCGTGAGTGCCGAGCGCGGTGCCAGGCGGAGCCTGTGCAGGTAACCCTCAGAGGAACTAGGCTGGCTGGAGGCGGCGGCGGGGGAGAGGCATGCCTTTTTAGGCAGCTGCGCCGCCCCACGCTGCCCGAGTCTGCAGTCACTCTCTGCCAGCAGCTGGGCTCGGCGCGCAGCGGGGGGGCGCCCCGCCGTGCATCCCGCCTGCGCCGGCCGGCGGGCTGGGCAGCCGGGCCGGGGGCCTGGGGCCTGGGGAGCGGACAGGGCAACTTCCCAGTGCCCGGCGCCTGCCCGCTAGGTGAGCCCAGGCCGGGAGGTGGGGAGGATGGAGGCGATGGCGGAGGGAGAGGGAGCCTGGGGCGGGCAGAGGGGGCGCGCGAAGCTCGGGGGCGGGGCGCGGCGCAGGCTCGGCGCAGGGGCCCGGAGCCTCCGCCTAGCCCCGGGGCTCCCGGC